GACTAAACGTTCACCAAAAAACTTTAGTGAGAAAAATCGAAAAAACGAACTACAAACATTAACCCCAAACATTCGGTAGAATTTATAGAATATTGTAAAAATATATATATATATACACGCGTATACACCTGTTTTCAATTACTAATTCGGAGATTTTGAACTACAAATAATGAAATTTATAATAATAACAATAACGATAATAATAATGACAACTTTTTTATTTAGCAGAAGAACATGAAATAAAATGAAGTGAAAGAAAACAAAATAGAATCTAATTTAACAAAAATCTAATTAAAGTGTTAAATACGTAATCTGCAATGCTCGCCAAATGTCAGTAGTGGTCACAAAGAGAAATAGATACTAGTATAAAATTGAGTTTAAATTGTTTAAAATTAATTATTAACGGAGACAAATGAAAATCAGTACAAAAAAAAATTGAGTTAAATTGTTTAAAATTATTTTAAAGAAATTAAAATCAGTATAGAAATTGAGTTTTATTCCCCTAGCAGCAGAGTAGTTGTAGTAGCTACTGTTGAGCAATCTTGAATCAAGTACGTAGGCGTAGAAACTTGTTGTCGATCTTCTTGCAACATTCTCTCACTGCAGCCACTGCTTTTAGATTTTCTTTTTAGAGACCAATTTCGTCGGGTCGGGAGGTATCCGTTGAAAATCTTAGATCTAGCTCTTGTCCTTTCAATGAACTGGTCGACCAGACCATAGAGGAGATGGCTTTGAATGATGTTGAGGAGACAGGAGGAAGTCATGTGCATCTTCTTGCTTCCCATATCTCACGTGCTCGCCAATAAGGGATATGTGTCCAGCTAGTTTACTAAGAATTATTGACTCGGTGTTGTAAAATTACGATATATCCAACTTCTGCTTCATGCATAGAGCAAAATTTACTGCTGGCTGTCTTTTTTACTGTTTCATCAAGCATAATTATTGCATCATCACCTTTCAACTATTTAGATGTGGAACAAAATTTTGTCAAATGTATGTTACACACGCACGCACTCACACACAAAATATAAAAATGAATGTATCTATTTTCAGAGGTCAGCTTGTAAGAAAACAATTATAATGTACACGTTTTCTTATGAAAACGTCTTACCTCGGGAGAACTGGGTCTCTGGACGCTAAACGATGATTGATTTCTTATGAAACTCAAAAAGGAAGATGACTAAAAGGAACAGTTGACATAAAGCTAAAATGGTTCAGAAAAGGATGTTTAGATATGGAGATGGAGGAAGAGTGACACTGCAAGGTAGAACAGAGCTCTCTATATCTGCTCAATGAGGCATGCTGTTTGGCCATATTTTTAGCTAAAATTTGTGCCTTTTTTTTCTCAGTAAATGTGCTCAAAATGGTCTTTCCTTTAAACCGAAATGGTATCAAAATTTCATCTCTGATTCTGAAAGGTGTCAACTCAAACACTTCCTCCAACTTCATTTGATTTTTTGTATTTTTCGATATCAAATTATTTTTATCAGATGGCTTTTTTAAAACAAATTTGTGAGAGACACACGTTGAGATATCTGAGTCGTTCACGCTGGAATGAGTCACAAACTTTTGAAATTTGGAGAATTTAGATATTTTAAGTTTGATACCATGCTGTGAATTCGTTACAACTGCTTTAACGCTTGTATTATCAAAAGATTCAGAACAAGGTTGTGTCTTATTCGATTTTTTTATTTCTTTGTCAAATAAATCCACTTTATTCTTGCCAGTTTCTATTGATGAACAAATTAATCTCAAGGAAACACTATCTCCATGTAGTTCATAAAGCATGCTGTATAGGTGATATAATTGCTTTCTTTCTGTAATGAGATAACTCAACTGTTTGATATTTTTAATATTATCAGCTGGATCTAATTTGAAACCTGAATCAAAAGATTTTGCAAGTTTTGCATGATAAATTTGAACAATCTCTATAAACAGTGTTAATGATGAAAGGATGTTGTAAAAATATTCAGACTTCTCATTTAGTTGATAAACTGAGGGAAATGATTTGAAAGCAGTTCGAATGTGTTTTATTTTTTTCAAAAAGTATTGGATTTTTGGTAAAAACTGCTTCATCAAAATTTTGATATCTATATGCAGCAGTGACATCAGAATGCTATCCATTATATCGATATCATCAGAGTCGTCCAACAATTCAATTAATTTAGCAACATATCCCTTAATCATTTTACCTGGATTACTTGAAAATTTGTTCACAAGAACCCCAGCTACCATGCATGCTCTTTTTTTAATAGATTTAATTTTGTCAACCAAATTAACTTTTTTACTTTTCCGAACATTAGGTATTTTTATAGTTTGAAACTCTAAAAGCAAGTGCAAAATTGTTTCCAGATCATTGAAATTGAATGTAAGATATTTGTTTTGCACAAAAGCTTCTATTAATTTGAGAATAATCAGTTTATGACTGATTGTTCTACCTTCCCCTGGGATAGCTTCTTTCTTAAATATATATGACATGAAATATGGGAGTAAATTATTAATTTGCCTGCATGACACCAGATCAACAAAAGCAGCCCTTGAAATGTCATCATCAACATCCTGTAAACATTTGATCAAATGGTTGGCATATTGAAGCAACTGTACCGAATCATCCTCAGAAATCATCATATCATTCATCGAGATCCAGAAAATTTCCATATTTGGTTCAATAGTAGCTGGAATATTTTTTGGTTGAGAAGCATAGCTCAAAAGATCCCCAACTTCAACAGCTGCTTCAACAATCGGACTGGTTTTATTTGTTTTATGGGTTGGAGAATTGTAAAGGCTCTCTGCATCCACAATTTCAAGGGTGTTTCTTATATCCGATGTATGCAAAGATTTACGTTTACATTTGATCACATTATAAAAGCTGACTTGTAAGATTTCTCTGATCCTGTAATTAATATCTTCATGCAAAACTTCAGAAACTTCATTGGCCACGTTTTGATGATCAGAATAGAAATTTATTATTTTTTTTGGAAGCATCGCGTACTTTCTATGTTCCATTTCACACGTTAAGTTTGCAACAAACACTTTTAACCACTTCAAACAAAACAAAGCAATGGCGTTCAACTGGATTGGAGCTGTTGAATGATAAAGAATATTTTATTAAAATGAATAAGCATAATGATTAATTTATAAATTAATTTATCATATTTATGTGAAATTGAAAATGAAAATGAAATATTGATGTATAGTTGTATGCACTATAGCATTTTACATTACCTGAGAAGTTCGAACAACCAACGTAAACGAAAAAAGGAAGAACAAAAGTAAAGCGAAGAAGTAGTAAGAGTAATAAAATAAATTCAAACATAGATACGAAAATTACAAAACCCAATGAACCTAATTTTGTGAACATTTTTAAAAAAGCGGTCAATTTTTTTTATTAAAACTTCAATTTTTTCTAAAATGTCATTTTTTTTATTTTACATTCAAATGTATAAGTTGCTTATTTAAAAAAACACGGTTATTAATTGATCTTTTCCTCTAATATAACTTATAATTATAATATAGCTAAAATAGTACATGGTGAATTCAATATTCACCAAGATGACGAGTCACGTAAAAAAATGCAAATAATAAACAAACATTTAAAATTGTAAACAAAAATATGACCTATTGGCACAAGTTATTTTTTAAAACACACTTCTAGTCTTTATATTTTTACTGTGTAACTTCAATATTCACATCACCCCTGCCGTTAAATGCAACTTGTATAAAGCTCTTTTTTTCAAATAAGTCAATCGAAATTCAATAAACTTCCACCCAACCTTCCTAACCGTAATGATCATTGGATGAAACTATGCCACCAGCTATATTAAAAACCTTAAAAACAACTTAAGAAAGAAAACCTATTGCAGGCAGACTATATACAAAAAATCGCAACATAAATTAAAAAATGGAGAATTGGATAAATTCGAGAAGTTCGACAACCAGTCAAATGACTTATGATGGAGACAACAACACAAAAACTTTTGGAATGGGTGGTGTTTCAATTAATAGGCTGCTGTTGGTTAGCACTTCATGCAACGTGAAGAAGAAGAAGTTTTACATCGGTGACTACAAGTTACTGGCGGAGATAGGGAACGGAAAGTTTGCAACCGTTAGATGCCTATCTAGCATATTTTTCAATCAATCAATCAATCAATCAATCAATCAATCAATCAATCAATCAATCAACCAACCAATCAGTCAATCAATCGACGATCGATCGATCGATCCTAGTAACAGCAGTAACAACATAACCCTTATAACCTTCAACGTCATTGACGCCAGGTGGCTCTAGTCAGACACAGCTTTTCGAGAATGCACTATGCCCTTAAGATCATCTTGAAGACTGCCAACAGAGCCAAGAAGATCAAGTCAGAAATCCAGGTCCAGAGTATTCTGTCGGAGCATAGGAATCCATTCATCATTGACTTCTATAGAACTTTCCACACAAATGTTAGCTAGTGCTATATACTAATAAAATGTTTGATTTATTTCAAGCCATGAATGAATGAACGATCGAACGAAAGAATGATAAATGTTTAAACCGAAGTAGGAATGAAGAACAAATTAATAGACGATTGAATGAACTAATCAATCAATACAAAAATGACGAGAGAATAAATTGTTGAATGAAAAAATGAAATGCGAATGTAAAATTTTAAAGCTTTTCTTCTATAGAATCACTGCATTCTTAGCGCTACAACATTATAATAAATAGAATGGATTGACATTGCTACATAACATTTCTATCCTTTCAACACACCAACGCAACTAACTGTGCAGGGCCACGTATGTCATCTGATGGAGTACATGGAGTATGGGAACCTGATGCAGCATCTAAAGCACTGCAAGTTCTCCGAATCGAAAGCCAGATTCTATATTGCCTGCACGCTTAACGCCCTGGAACACGTGCACAACTTGAATATAGCCCATAAGTTGGTTTAGTTCGTCAATAAAACTCAATAAAGATTCAGGGGAGTTACCGATTAGATAAAATTAACATAATCAATAAAATATCGGAAGTTAAAACCAGGACAATAAATCTGCAGAGATGTTAAGCCGCAGAACATGGTCATGAACAAGAGAGGGTATGCCAAACTTGTTGATTTTGGACATGCAGAGACCAACGTCACTTACACAACTCCTATGTTTGATAAACTGGGCACCAAACAGTACAAAGCCCCTGAGTATTTCGAAAAGGGCCCGATTTGGCGGTTTGTGGATTTCTGGGCACTGGCTGTTTCTCTCCATATAATGATAGTTGGAAAGGTAAAGTAATAATTTATAGGTCACTTGTTAATATTTGATAAACATTTAACAAAATTTTGTCTGGTCGAAATTTTAAATAGCGGGAAAAAATAATTTTTTCATAATTTTCTAACTATATTTTTATTCTTATGTTGATATTTAATTGATAATTAACAAATTATTTAATAAAATTGTGAAGCACATTCAAATGGAAGATAAAAGGGTACTGATTGACAAGAAGCACCTCTCAGATGCAGCACAACATCTTCTAGAGCAAGTTTAGGTTCATTCATTTTGTAACGCAAAAGTACGAAGTACAAAAAATACCAAATAACACAAAAATACTTTGATTGACATAATTTAGAGTATCAGTGACAATAATACTAGTAGAGTAGCGATGAGAGTAGTAATAACAAAAACAACAAATAATTCCAGTAATTTTTTACTATCTAGCACCTTAACGCACGACAAAACCTTAGTAAACTTAATTTTAATAAAATATAACCTACTATAGATACAAAGGTACATAGCTAAAATCCCATCTAACTATATTATACAGAAATTCACGATAAATAAATAAATATTTAAAGTTATTTCCTCCACTAAAAGAAAACAATAAAAATTGTATTTGTAAATTGAAAAAATAAAATTAATGAAGATGTTTCAACAAGATCCATTTAGCAGGCTCGGTTCCAGCCGTAGGGGTGCCAAAGAAATAAAGGAACATCCATTTTTCGAAGTTGGTTGTAGGTTAAAATGTGAAAATGTAAATATAAATACTAATTTAAATATAAATTTAAATTATCATCATCCTCTAAAATTATTTTTAAAATAAAATATTTAATTGTTTTAAGGATTTTGATTGGGAAAGGCTTGAAAATGGCTCTCTTATGCCGCCAAAATTAAAGATACCATCGGTTAAACCCTATTTAAAGTTTATAGTGAAATTATAGAGTTTTATTATTAAAAAATATTTTTTATTTTAAAATTTGCATTTTAATAAATTTATTAAAATTTATAAACGACAGAAACTCACAATAGGACCAAGACTCCTTTATGATAACGTTTCCTCTTTCGAAGAACTCGTTGATATTGATTGATTGGTTGATTGATTGGTTGATTGATTGATTGTTTAACTGACTGATTGGTTGACTAATTGCTCGATCGTTTGACTGATTGATTCGTTGATTAGTTAAATGTTTGAATGATTGAGCGGTTGGTTGGTTGATTGATTGATTGGGTAGTTGGTTGATTTATTAATTGAATAATTGATTGGTTGGTTGGTTGATCGACTGATTGATCTGAGGGCCTTGGCAACTTCATTTTTTGGATTTAATAGTTTCTTCAAATCCATTTTGATTGTGTAACTAATTTGTGTTGACTACGCTTGTCTTTAAATTCATTTGCCATGAAATTTTACGAACGTTTATTTGTATACAATTTTTTTTGAGTATTTGCTTTTTATCAAATTTGATTCACTTTACAAATAAATTTTTTGTAAAAAATCGTCATCTAACATTTATTGATCAATAAGATAAATATATATATACGCGTGTTCTAATCAGTATTCAACTCTAAAAGGCAACTATATCTAATAAGACGCCAAAAAATTTATTGGAAATGTAAAAAAAAACTGTTTAAAAAGGAATTTATAATAAAAAATTGATATATTCCAGAACATTATTCAAAGAAAATCCAACATAACGCTATCTCCATTTAGGAACTTAGAAACGCTATCGGCGATGTTACTATTTTCAATTGGGATCCACTCAAATTCGCTTGCACGTACATTGTAGATCTCCTTCGGAGTGACCACAGCGAGAACGGTGATGACCAGGCCATCGTTTCTGTGCCGCGGTTTGCCGTTATGTTCGACAGTTAAGACTGTCCTCACCTTTACGCTCGTTTTGCCGGTTCCGAATATTTTCTAAGATTTTTATATCGTCAGGATTTTTTATATAATATGTAATTTGTCGGTTTTGTTAGAATGAAATTGTATATTAGTTGAAAGTATCGAATTATTTTTTACAAATCCGAAAAGATACTGCTTACTTTTAAAAGTTTGTAGTAGTTTTCTCTGCAGGAGAGCATTTCAAATGACGGTAAATGGTTTTCTGGTTTTTTACCCATCAAGAAGTTATACTTTCGGCTGCATTGTTTAATTAATTTGAAAATCATTAAAAATTTTTATATCGTTTGTGAATTAGAATCTATCGCACCTCTGTTCGTTGTGGTGCACCAAAAACAACCGCATGATGACGCGACTGTGTGGAATGTTGATAGGTCGCATCGCTATGAAATCTGCATTTTTATGCTGCTTGTACGCTAACTCGATCATTCTCAAAATGTCTGTATGTCTATTAAAATTAATACATACAAATTTAAAGTTGGTTTCTTGCTTTTATTCAGTTTAATAACTGTTGTTTGAAATAAAAAATATTAACGACCTTAAATCAACTTCCTTCCTTAACACGGAACTAACGGAAAACCAGTCTGCCTGCAATGATTCCTTATCTGCCGTTTTTTTCAAATTTCCTCCTTCGTAAATTGAATAAATTTTTAAACCAACCGCAATGAAGAAATTTAAAGAATTTCTAATTTCATAAACTGTTGATAACCGAATAGTTAGGTTGATTCACGATAATACCAACCAGCCAAATCGCAGATCATGCTAAATCTGTACCACTTATTTGAGACTTCGACGTATGATAGACTGGAAGGAGAGCACATGATGCCCGTCTCTTCCAAAACTTCTCTTCTCACCGCATCCTTGAAATTTATTTCGTTCAGATAGATTTTTAATACCAAATTAACAAGAAATTGTAATATATAAGAACGGAAATCCTAATTATTATTAATATTGACGATTGATAACGTTAGAAAACGAAAGCTGGGTCACATACACAACTTTTTAAATGTTTACTTACATGTATACGGGCATATTTTTGTGTGATTAGATTTTATTTTCGTGTAAACTGAATAAAGTATATAAAACCATTTTGGGATGTTATAAAATGTAATATCGCTAATATTTATCAATCACTAATTGTCTGGCGAACGTACTTCGATAGTTTCGTTGGCCTCCATCCGGCCGGCAGGAATGTACCATTTACCGTAACAGGATTGTTTGGCTTCTTGCATGAGCAGAATCTCATCATTCTCGTTGAATATTGCTCCAGCAACAATGTAAGCGATGTTTTTCTTCACTAGCGGAACAAACGATTTATCTGGTGGTTTGTTTGAGGCTACCTTTGACAATTACTAAAGAACGTGCGTGTCGATAAGGACGTAAAGCAAAAGACATACCAAATAATGTTTGAATTGAAATCAAATATTAATTTGATATATGAAATCGGCGTTCCGTAAATTACTCCATTTGAAGGTTTTAAATCAAAAAATTAAACATCTGCGTGGTGATGCGTGCTTGCGCGTTTCTATGCGTTATATGCACAAGTCGATAATTTGATAATTTAATTAGCTTTAATTTGTAACTTTAATTAATAGGAAAGACGATGATACAGTATAGTGTACATGTGCACTATAGACTTTACGTATACTATACAGTAATATATGTTATAAAACAGATCTGCGTTAGTCAGATCAGATTCATAAGCAATCAACCAAAATGTGGTCTAACATTACTAACAACCAACCATCACATAGTAGATCTTCAGTCTTCAGGTCTTCACAGCCAAAAAATTATTGATAAGTGTAAATATAAAGTAAAAAATGTAAAGTAAACACTACATGTTAATAAACAGGGTAGAGTAGACAGTAGACATATTATAAAAAGCACAACTTATTTAAAATTTGCATCAGTTGTTAAATTATGAATTACAAGTCAAACATTTAATTAATTAAAAAACTGTCGAACCGTCGTGGTGCAAGTCCACAATGACTTCCCGGTCGCATGCACTCCGCTGTAAGATGCTGAGCAACACCTCATCCATTTAAAATTTAAATCCGCTATTTAAAATCAAGTTACTCACTTAAATCCCTTTTTAAAATCAAAACAATGACATAAGATCTAGAGCTTCTGAGAACGCATTGCAATGTATAAAACGACTATGCCTATAGTCAATATTAAGTATACTAATGCCATCTACTCATACGTAATGACACTCTTCGTGTAACAATTATATCACACTTGAATTGAATTTATATTAAATAAAACATATAAAACATCACAAATACACATCCACTCCTCACTACACTACGAAACTCAATGAAGCCAACATGTTGAACCGAGAAACTAAATCAACTGTCACGTTTTATACATAATCATTCACACAAGTTGATGCACACACGCACCACAAATACACACATCGCACACACATACAGACGAGCCACATCATACGATACAATACACACACCACACGCACACTGAAACACAAACAATCACGTAATAAGGCGCCAGTAAAATATAAGCCATGACAATATGCACAACTCATTTTCAATAATTTTGAACTATTCATTATAATTAATACATTACAATTCAAAATAATGTACATTTCATTTTCTTTTAAGTAGCAAGATGTTGAATAGGCTGAAAACATGAAAGGATCTGCAACGATAAAAAGTTTATAATAAGAGCTATCGTTTCAGTCTAGTTATATGTGAAAACTAAATATTTTAAAGTTGATGATATTTAAAAGTCTAAAAACAAAAAATGATCATTTATAATTTTTAAAATTTATTGAATGAGGATAGAGGAATATCCTTCGTACCTCGTGTATTGATTCTTGTCTTATTCCAGATGGTAAGATCAAAATTTGTGGAAACATTTTGTTTGTCTTGCGACAGACTCAACAGTTCTATGCACTTGTCTTTATTTCGGCAGTCTCCTAACCAACTCTTCAAATTTCATCTAAAACATAAGAAATCTGCGGCCACAAGAACATCTTTGGCATTTTTCTCTGTTAAGCTAGTCTCCAGAATAAATTCAGTTAATTATTTCAATCACACGAAATAATCAGCACCCTCTCCATAATCCAACAAATCCCGGACTTCCTCACCTCCATGCCTCCAACTTCCCCATTCATCATAACCATCACATTATTATTGTTCTGCATGTCTAATTTATTAAATTATTCACGCTCGATAAAATACAATTTCCATAAAGTTTGTCATACCAACGAGGTTGTTCAAAGTTTACCAATCGAATCGATTTTAAAGACGTTTTTCGTTTGAATAAATTAAATGTCAAACGTGAGCGATCACGTTATGTGTAAATTCAAAATGTTCATCGTTTTTGGTTAATTTTTTAAAATTAACAACATGCTAAAAAATAAAAGTACCAACTAGATAAAGTAAAACTAATCTGTGGTCCAAATTAATCATTAATCAGCAATTCCAGAAGGTAATAAGTTACAGATAAATATAAACAAAAACTACACCAGTATCTCAATAAATACCATGAATATATATATATATGGATATTTATATATATATTTGTGATATATATCTATGGTGAATACTGAGAAATTAAACTGATGATGCAAGAATTATCTAACATCAAAGTGACGTATGTAAAAAATTTGCAAAATCATAAATAACATTTAAATAAAATCAGAACGAATATTACACATGGATTTTCAGTACTTAAATTGCACTATCATTTTCTTTTACTGTATTTTAAAATCGAGAGTGAAACTTTGAAATAATATGCGAATATTAAGTTGAAGCTGACCTGCGAAAGCTAAAAACAACATAATGACGTAAGTCAGGATTCAAGTTCTATAGTTCAATCCCCGTTAAAATTTCCATAACTGAAAACCTACCAAGTATTGAATTAGGAATCTTGAATTCAAAGTATTCGTCATATTAGTCACAGTAACATGATCATGTGTGTTCAAATAACAGTCAATCTACGCAATTATAAACAGACACGCGTAAAAACTATATGTATAAGTCGCATGAATATATATAGCTCGTTTGTTTGCATAAAAACAGACTCCAACATGTTCAAGATTTGATGATGGTGACAAAACTTAATTAATTCATCTTCATATAAGAAGCAAAAAGTTCTGTAAGCTGTAAAGTTGAGGTGAGCGGTTGCGATGATGACTATGTGGCTAACAACTTTGTATCAAGGTAGCCCCAACAAAAACGCGTTTTTCTGACAACAGGGATATTGTGAGACATAGCTACTTGGCCACAAATTGATGCGAAGAATCCTCCTTTCTTCCTGGGCGTGAAAGAACCTTCAGACCCTCCCACACCTCCGTACGGACCGTATTTCAGTCCCGAATTTGTGTGAAATGTTATCTGATCAATTAGGAAACCCGCCCTGTAATCTATCCTGTTGATGTAATCTCCATCCTTGAGTTTGAATTCATGCACTCCTTCTGGATGCTCGACGTTTAATCCGTGGTCAATTGTTGTCCTATCTTCATACGTCAGTGTAATTCCTTTAATTGATGGAAAATATTTTTTTAATTAGAAAATTTTGTAAAAAAGATGAAAAGTGATAATAAAAATAAGAAAAAAAAGTTCAATACCTCCTACAACAACTATGCCATCCCAAATCCTCAACCAAATTTTGACTCCACGAACGACTGTGAGAGCACTTTTGTTGCCTTTTTTATCAGAGAGAAAGTCCAAATCTTTGAATGAATCTAAACTGCGAAAGTAAGTACTGCCAGCATAAGCTATTTTCTCAGTCCAATAGTATTTAAATTCTGTAATTTTTAATTAATACTCTCTGTGAACAAAAAATTTTTGTAAAATTTAAAAATAACGAAAATAATTATTTGCACCTCTTGTATCTATTCTCGGTTTATTCCACTTGCCAACATCAAAATTGTGAGAAAATATTTGCTTGTCTTGAGCTAAACTCAATAACTCAATGCATATGTCCTTATCACGACAGTCTCCTAACCAGCTGTAATCCTTATTGATCTGAATCAACTGACCCGGTGTCAAAAATCCCAACCTAATTGAACATTTCAAAAATTCTAACCACTCATCACAACAGTTTTTTCTGTTAATATAATCTTTGACAGCATTGAAGAGCCTGAATTCGAGATTTGCACTAACCAGTTCTTCGTTTGAAACCAATGAAAGCCTATCATCAGACATAAGCCCAAGAATTTCCAATGAACTTAATTTGTCTAAATGCCCTGCTGTAAATAGAGGATAGAAATTTCTTAAAATATAACTACGCACCCGTTTTGTGAAATTGTTCTGGCAGAATACTTTACTCAGAGCGTGAACCTCTGCACAATTCTTGAATGATAAATCTTTGCAATAAAAATCAACACATAGTTCGCATATTTCATCAATACACAAAAAGTCTGCAGATTCGAGGATATCTTCTGCATTTTCCTCAGTTAAATTGCAGACTCCAGAATACATCCAGTTAATTATTTCCATGACAGCACTTCCCTTAAGATCACTTAAGTTCATCTGCTGGTTTTCCATTTTAGGCATATTTATTAGGTACTGCTTGATGTAAGGAGAGAAGGCAGAAACAATAATTTTGTGGACAGGCTCTAGTTTATAGCCATCGCTGAAAAATAATTTTATGTTCAAGTCAAAATTTAGATTTTCCTTCCTCTGATCTTTCACCTTTGATAGCAGATCTAAAGCATGCTTTCCAACGACAGAGTTTTTATCTATACTTTTTTCATCCTCTATGTCAGAAACAACATCCTCGTCTAACTCACAGCCTGAATTTGCGCCATAATTGTCATCATATTCGTGATAACTGTCGATATCATCATCTATGTCAGCACCATCGTGGAAATCATGAAAATTTTCATCCTCTATTACGTCATCACCAGCTTCTGCATCACCGAGCACATCTTCATCCTCTGCTTCACCAGCTTCTACAACATTAATCGGATCTACAGCATTTCCTTCATCGTTTTCCATACCTCATAACATTTATAATTTACCTTCTTATGAAAAGAAACTGTTGTTTAGCAAAAGTTGATTTACCCTGATTGTCTGATACTGAGTTAATCACAATTATATTTAAATTAATTTTTTTTATTTGTCAAAGATTCCAATTTGGGGAAGACCAAAAAGAGTTATGTTTACAGTTTTACATTCATAAATTTACCTATTTAAATAAATAAATTTCATTTTATTTAATTATAATTAATAAAATTAAAAAATAAGCCAAATAGTTAAGTTAATCTTAACTTAATATTAATAGGTATGCAATATATACTAAGCATACGTAATAGTATAATTGTAATAATACTTAAGATAAGTTTATTTATTTTAAATTTTAATTAGTACTAAAAACTAGATAAATCAATGGTGTTATTTTTATTTTATTGAAATGAATATTAATATTGACTGGTTGACATTGCATTGTTACAATCAACTAAATTTTTTAATTTATTTATAATATTTTTACATTTGTATTCATAATTTAATCATGATATTAATTAGTTTTAATTTAATTAATTATTACAACTAATTGATTGACAGATAAAGTTTAAATTTAAATATTTTAAAATTTAAATCACCAAAAAATAACAAAAATTACTTTGACAAAAAAGTGAGGTAGTATTTTATTTTAATTTAATTTATCAATTAATTGAAAATAATTACTAATATAAATTTATTAGTAAGTATTAAATTAATAATTAAATTAAATTAAGTAACTATTTTTTTATTATAATTAATTTACTGCGTCGTTGACTCCCTGTTTAAAAAATTTCCTAATTTCACTAGCTAAAAAAAGTGCGAATTAGTTATTAATAATAGACTAACATAAATTAAATTGAAAAAAAACAAAATAATAAATTATAAAAATGTATTTATTTTACAATATAGAATCCGCTGGTTCGCCGGAAAAGGTAATTTCTAATGTACCTTTTTTTTGCGCAATACCGGAAAAAGTACTCCATTCACTCCATCTGCTATTTCTTGGATGAATCAAAAATGCAAATGAATCATTTATCCTTATAAACATTTATATATAATTTATATATTTATCTATACATTTATCTATTACATATATACTTTTATTCCATAAACACGTTCATTACATATTTGTCTCTTTTTCTCTCTATGTATATTTGTGAGTATATGGTTAAAGTCTATATTTTTTAGGCGTTTTTAACCTTTTATTTTATTCTACATACATGGTTATATCACAGATGCATTTTATTTTATACAATCTGGTTTAATTTTCAAAATTAAAATAAGTATTCACATATCCACGATGTCACGTTATTCTACTGGTTATCAAAAATAGCCATGGAATTTTAGCATTCCAGTTGGATTGCGCAATTCAATGAATTTATCTTGTAAATGTTGGATACAATCAAATATTTTTTATAGAAATTGAACTATAACACGCGTTTTTAACGTCGGATGCACTCTGTAAAAACACACACACACATCATTCTCATTTAACACTTGACACTAGCATAAAAACTTAGTTGAAAGCACTCTAAACTCATTTAAAAGTTTCTCAATTTCAAACACCTTTCGCAATGAAATGCAGAAAATCTTTATTATTACAACTAAACGTAATCAGAGCAGATTTTCCGCAAACTTTTAGAAATATTTATTAACTATAATTGAAAGGCACTCAACATAGATGTTATCAAATAGATGTTCGTTAAAAAAAAATTTGGCAAATTTAAAAAAAAAACTTGTACTCGTTCAGTTGGCAATAACAATTAGGGGTAAAAAAAATCATAAATTGAATAAACATCACGCGGTTGAAAAGCAGAAGCCTCGTCAGACATCACCGCAGACAAACATCATCTTAAATTACAATATAGTCAATATAGTTTATCAACAAATATCTATCTTTAAACTATTAAATCTTGCAGTGAATACGAATGAAAACAATGAAACACCGACTTCTCAAAGATATTCAAATAAAAATCATACTTATTAAAACAAGCCATAGAATTACAAATTGAAAAAAAATAAAATAAAATGTAATCTTTCGAGACTTTTGTTTTTAAATTTGAATGATTACTTACGAATACTATTTATAAAATCTCTAGATATAATTTTCTACATCTGCGTGAAAGAATCATAGACTTCAAGCAAAATAGGATTTTAAATGTTTGCTAGGGACGCCCCAGTAGAAAGATAAATACCTAATAGTAGGCAAATCCCTATCTGTAATGGTTTCAGCAAACATCGCCGCCAAAAACCCGCGCTTTTTTCGAGGCTTACATTTACCAAAACCACCCCCGACACCGCCGTACGGCCCGTACTTGTTTTCCAAATTGGTGTAAAAAGTAATGGAGTCTAACATGTGACCGTGAGTGTACTCTACTTTGTTGATGAATTCGTCGTCTTTCAGTGTAAACTCGAATGCACCATGAACTGTTTCCTCATTCAAGCCTTCACGCCATATCCTGTTGTCCGAGTAACTGGCTTCAATTCCTTTAATATATTAGTACAACGTTAAGAATTAATAAAAAGGTTGAAAGGTTAAAAGTCATCGTCTCCGATTGCACTTGCTTCAGAAGTATCAACGGCCACACATACACACGCGCGCGCGCGCACACAGAAATACGCATCTACACACACCAACCCACATACACGGCGTATGTGAATGTGTGTGAAAATCAGGCTTACCACATATTGCATATTATAGGTAAGGATCTTGTTGCATTTGAACCTGGTCACTGCATGAACAACTGAAATATAGAGACATAATTTATAAATACAATATTTACAATGAAATAGAATCATAATTATAGTAAGCAAAAAACTATGAAATCTCACCTCCAATTATTATAATATCATCCCATTCTCTCAAGAAAATCTTCACCCGACGAATCATGAGCAGGGAGCCCCTTTTCATAAGGTCATTGTCCTCCGACGTGTTGTCACCAAAGTTATCGTTATGCTCATACCGGTACCCAACAATTGCTATGAACCTTGTCCTGTTGTAGTTGAAACCTGGATATGCATATGTTCGTGTGTATGTATGTAAGTGTGTGTGTTTGTATGTGTGTTTGTATGTGTGTTTGTTTGTTTGCTGTGTATGTATGTATATGTTTCTTTGCATACGTGTGTGTTTGCAATGTTATAACAAAACAAAAACTTATAATTGTCTATAGTGTATTATATATTCAAAAAGGAATGTTTCATTCAATGGCTGATGATAAATCAAATCTCTTAAATATAAATGAAAACTAATCAATTAATCAATCTTTGCTTAGCGTCCAGAGACCCAGTTCCCCTGAGGTAGGACGTTGTTTTCTTTGCCATCAATTTTTTTTTGCGCCAAATTAGGCGGTCAGTTGTATCCATTTCATTTCAAGTCCTGGGCATGACATAAAACTGCATCCACGCTGCCTTTTGTGCTTTTGAGCAAAAGGCTAGACCCACTGCTTATAACTGGTGGTTGTCATCAGGATGGGTGTACGGATGTAAAAAATTTCCCCAAAATTATTCCATAAATGAAAACTGATAAGATAATGAAAATGAATGAGCCAAAAACCTTTCAAAACTATTCTTGGTTTAGACCAAATGGGATATTGCGATTCAGATATTGAATCTTCCTGCTTCTTCTTATTATAGAGATCTTGTAATAGCAATACACATTCATCTTTTTTGCAGCAATCTCCTAGCCATCCTTGAGAACTATCTATCAAATTTTTTATCTGATCTGGAACCAAAAAACCCAATCGAATTGATTTTGTCAAAAAATCTAGCCAATAACTCTGTAAATTTTTCCTTTCCAAATAACTTTTCACAACTTCGAAGAGTTTTATTTCCTGATCAGAACTTTCTAAGTTGACAAATTTGTGGCAGAACAAAATTAGGCCGTCGTCAGATGAAAGTTCAAGGACTTTCTCAACTGGTAGATCATCTAAATAACATTGGCTAAGTAGTGTATAGAAATGACAAAGCATATACTTGTAAACTCTATCTCTAAAAATACCAAACGTCTCATAACAAATAGAAAGCATGTAAACTTCTAGGCAATTTTCATATGAAAGATTGTGTGAGAGAAAGTCGGCAGCTAATTTTACAACATCATCAATGCATAAAAAGTCAGCTGAGACTAGGATATCAATAGCTGTTCTTGAAGTTATCTTACACACTCCTGTGTATATCCAATCAAGTATCACAGATACACTTTCACCATTTAAGCCAGTCATATCTACGATACAATCATCTGTTTTTGGCATGTTTACCAAGTAACTTTTGACATAGGGACAACATGAGGAGATTAGAAACTTATGCACATGCAAAAACTCAGTACTGTCATTCATTGTGACTTTAATTTTCATGTCTAAACTATTTGTTGAGCTATCTTTTCTATCATTTTGTAATAATTGAAGTACTTTCATAGAGTGTTTTTGAGGGACGATTTCTCTTGTCAGATTGAGGTATTCCTCGTAGCTGTCGCTATCATCGTAGGACTCGTAAGAATTTTGATCATTAAACTTGATGTCTTCATCTGTATAGTTACTATCATAATCATCACTATCATTATTATTATTCTTATAATTGTCTGGAGGTTCAAACCACATATTCAGATCTATAAACAGAGGATTGTGATCAAACTACTATTTGTATTTTGCTTTAAAAATGGTATCTTGAATATTTCCTGTAAAAATGTATTTTTTATTTAATAATCAATAATCATAAGACATAAATGAATAAATTAGTTATTACTACTAACTATTGATATTAATAATTAAAATTAACTGTAGAGTGTGGTGAAGCATAGCAGACAGAAAAAAAAAATACTAGTTGTACTAGAAACTAGACTAGCACTAGAAGACTAGAGAAGACACACACACATCCACAAAGTTATGAAAATTCCCTTTAATATTAAATTTTAATTATAGATCGGACGAAACGTTCATTTCACCAAAAAAGTTCGGAATGTAAACTTTTGCCAATGTAACTCTAAAATTTTATTTTAATAATTTTTTTTATCATTTTAATTAATAATTTATTAATTTTATTTATTTATTCGTTTATTGCGACATTCACACACTTATAAACCTCAAATTAGTTCGATATTATACATTTCCAAATTATTAACATAACCATTGAACTACACTTCTTGATTGTATAACAGCTGTGCATGAAATATTGATGCTCAAAAACTCAAAACTATTCTTAAAAAAATGTGTTTCAATTCGATTTTTGTTGTATGACTTATACATTTTTGTTAGTTATTTAATTGAAATAATTAGAATAAATATTTATAAAATCGCAAAATGATTCTTTATTCTCAAAC